CTGTAAGAGAACCCGAAGGAACCGCCGGACAGGGAAGGGTGGTGGAACTGCGGGCGACTACCGGACCGCCGGAGGGGTCAGCAAGAGAAACGGCAGCAGGAACAGGAAGCGGCGTCAGGGTGGTGGAGTCGCGGAAGAAACACCGAGAGGCGCCAGAGTCCAAGGTGAAGGAAAGCGAAGCCGAGGGGTCTGACGACGGAACGACGGCGGAAGCACCAAGACTACACAAAGCAGGGGATCCTACGCCTGACGCAGCAGGGGAGGCTAAGCGAGGCACACCTACACTAGGCAACAGTGAGTAATAAGCGGGAAGCACACTAGAGTCATCAGCATACATCACATGCAGGGCGGAAACAATGGCATCCATGTCCATATCAAAAATCTGAATCTGACGACTAAGCAAACTGTGCCAGTCCGGGAGGTCTGGCGACGGGCCGAAGCGCTGACGAAAGAGGTCGTCCAGGCGACGAAAACAGCGGGGAGTGGAGTGACCGATCTTACCGCAAACGAAGCCGCGGCGAGGACCGGTCTGGATCTGGTACTGACAACGCCCGCCGCCAGAGCCACCACGCGGCACACCACCACGCGCCCGGCCACCGCCAGCGCCGGGCCACCCTGGCGGGAGGACACTCGTCTGCCGCGTCTGCGACGGCTGCTGCGGCTGCTGCGAAGGCTGCGACTGCGGCGGCTGCTGCGGCTGCTGCAACTGTAGGGGCGGCGACTCAGCTGGACTGGGCAGGGTCCCCTCGTCCGCTCCAGCACCAGGCGACCCGACCCCACCACTACCTCCGCCCGCACCCCCGCCACCTCCTCCGCCGCGCCCAGCCTTGGGGCGGCGGCCCTTCCCCGAACGGACCTGCGCTGCAGCAGCAGTCTCAGCCACTGCGGCAGAGCCGTCGGAGAAGGTGCACTGAGCGGGGGCACAACCCTGAAAGATAGGGACCGGCAAGACACCGCTCGCCTGGGCGATGGAGCGGTGACGGGTCTCTATCACAGTCAGGGTGTCTACAAAGTCAGTGAGGGTGAGGTCTGCGGGGTGAACGCTAAGAAAGCGGTCGCGGGCGACAGCAAGGCGGTCAGGGAGGCGGGTGGCAAGCAGGTAGAGGGTAGAGGTAATGGGCGGTTGGTGGGCTCTAAGCTGGGCGTCAGTGCAGGCAGCGCGCCAGGTCTCATCTATCGAGCGCAGGTGGGCAGCGAGGTCAGAGACAGTGGGGAATGATGCAAGGTCAGGAAAGAGCATCGGAAGGATCAGGCGACCCACCGAGGCAGCCGGAGGGGTGGAATAGCGCTTGATCACAGCATCTAAGTATGCCTCAGCAGTAGTGAGGGACCTAAAGCGAGGACGCTCGGATGGGGGAAGGGCGTTGCTAATGGCAAGCTGGGTGACAGCATCGCGAGAAAGCCAGACAGAGCGCGCACGGGCAGTGGCAGCAGTAGACTCACGCTCAGTGGGTGTGTGGTCAGCGGGCTGAATAGCAGGGGGGTCTGGGCAGGGGAGCGTACCGTCAAGGTGTGCGGAAAGCGGTTCACCATCCCGCCGCTGGCCAGTGAGTTGGCGGCGGAGGTCGGCAAGCCACGCCTCGAACTCTAGGGGCTGACCTTCAGCGTCGAAGCGAAGCTCCGCCGCCATCAGGAACAGTCCAGTGCAGCTAGGTGGGGTGCGGTGCAGTGCGGTACAGTGCGGTGCAGTGCGGTGCAGTGCGGTGCAGTACGGTGCAGTGCGGTACAGTGCGGTGCAGTGCGGTACTGTGCGGTGCAGTGCGGTGCAGTGCGGTGTAGTGCGGTGCCAGGCAGTACAGTGTGGTGCGGGGCGGCACGGAGCAGGGCGGGGTGGGGGGGGGGGGAACCGTACCAGTGAGGAGGACGGGGCCGGGGCTGGCCCGACGGGGCCGGGCGGGCGCGACGGGGCCGGGCTGGTGCGACAGGGCCGGGACGGGGCGACGGGGCCGAGCGGGCGCGACGGGGCCGGGCTGGGGCGACGGGGCCGGGCAAGTGCGGCAGGGCCGGGCCGGTGCGACGGGGCCGGGCGGCTGCGACGGGGCCGGGCAGGGTGCGACGGGGCCGGGCGGGTGCGACGGGGCCGGGCGGCTGCGACGGGGCCAGGCAGGGGCGACGGGGCCAGGTGGCTGCGACGGGGCCGGGCGGGCGCGACGGGGCCAGGCGGCTGCGACGGGGCCGGGCGGGTGCGACGGGGCCGGGCGGGTGCGACGGCGCCGGGCGGGTGCGACGGGGCTGGGCGGCTGCGACGGCGCCGGGCGGGCGCGACGGGGCCGGGCGGCTGCGACGGGGTCGGGCAGGGACACGACGGGGCCCAGGAGGGGCGCTACAGGGCCCAGGGAGGGCGTGACAGGGCCCAGGAGGGGCGCTACGGGGCCCAGGAGGGGCGCGACGGGGCCCAGTAGGGGCGCTACGGAGCCCAGGAGGGGCGCGACAGGGCCTGGGAGGGGCGCGACGGGGCCCAGGAGGGGCGCGACAGAGCCCAGGAGGGGCGCTACGGGGCCTGGGAGGAGCGCGACGGGGCCCAGGAGGGGCGCTAGGGGGCCTGGGAGGAGCGCGACGGGGCCTGGGAGGGGCGCGACGGGGCCTGGGAAGGGTGTACAGGGCCCAGGAGGGGCGCTACGAAGCCCAGGAGGGGCGCGACGAGGCCCAGGAGGGGCGCTACGGGGCCCAGGAGGGGCGCGACGGGGCGCTACGGGGCCTGGGAGGAGCGCGACGGGGCCCAGGAGGGGCGCTAGGGGGCCTGGGAGGGGCGCGACGGGGCCTGGGAGGGACGCGACGGGGCCCAGGAGGGGCGCGACAGAGCCCAGGAGGGGCGCTACGGGGCCTGGGAGGAGCGCGACGGGGCCCAGGAGGGGCGCTAGGGGGCCTGGGAGGAGCGCGACGGGGCCTGGGAGGGGCGCGACGGGGCCTTGGAGGAGCGTTACGGGGCCCAGGAGGGGCGCTACGAAGCCCAGGAGGGGCGCGACGAGGCCCAGGAGGGGCGCTACGGGGCCCAGGAGGGGCGCGACGGGGCGCTACGGGGCCTGGGAGGAGCGCAACGGGGCCTGGGAGGGGCGCTACAGGGCCCAGGAGGGGCGCTAGGGGAGATGAGCGGAAGCGGTAGGTGGGGGGGATCCTACCTACGCGTGATACCATATCAAAATTAGAATTGAATGTTGGTAAAGTGAGAGTATACACAAATATACCTAAGTGTTGTACCCTCTAAGAGGTAACCCTATACAGTCTATACAAACATGACAAATACACATGTTTGACAAAATGAAGGGGAGTGTTGTGATATGTTTTATACTTAGCATTTCCTAGAATGTGAGAGTACAAGGCATTATAACCTAGGGGGCTGTACTCTCTAAGGCACAACCCTTTATGGTCTACAACATCACACACAAATGTGTTTGACACTATCGAGCCCTTGACTGGTCCAAACTGTTAAAATTATATAAGTTATAATTTAATATAGGCTTGGTAGGTTGTTACTGAACCTTTCTGTAGGGGGTACAAACCCCTCCTTGTACTCCCCTCTCTTCCTAATCCAACCACCTTTCTTCTCGACATCCTCTCACCTCCTAGATCCGTTTTTCCTCACGCCATTCCATGGCGGTCTTCTTCCTAGTATCCTAGCCAACCTAGCCTCCTAAGTTTAAGAACCTTTAGTCCTAAGTTTCTAAGATGGTATCAGAGCAGGAGATCCTCCCTGTTGGATCTCCTCCTCACGCTTCCGCAATTTACTCCTCACTCTCATTAGCTCGAGCGGCCATGGCGGCCGCGTTTTGCTGCAGTGGCGACGTCGCGCTGCCACTGGCCGCGTCGTGCCGCGACCGGCTCGACGCGCTGCCGTGGCGTCGGGCCGTCGTTCTGCAGTCGCAGCGTCGACGTCCCGCTGTGGCATCGACGCTGCCTCTGCCGTCGCGACGTCGACGTCCTGCTGCAGCGTCGACGGCGCCGTCGGGCCGCAGCCGGTTGCGTCGACGCTTTGCCGTGGCAGCGTCACCTTGCTGCCGTTGCAGGGTCGGCGTGCCGCCACAGCGTCGACGCCGCGCCCTGGCGGCGTCGTCATGCTGCCGCGGCAGCGTGGATGGGCGGCAGCGGGCAGCACGCCGTCGTAACCGCCACCTGCCCGCCCTCCTGCCAGTAAGCGCCGCGCCACTTATGGCGCGTCGCTGAAGACTCGCCTCGCCCCGCCCCCTCCCCTCCCCCCCCCACCTGCACCTGCTTCCCCTGCATCCCCCCCTTTCTTGCTGCAGCCGATGACTGCCATGTGAGGGACCTCTCCACCGCCGAGGAGACAGGACATGCCGCCGAGAGGGCGGGGGCCGCCGCACCAGCCTCTGTCGCTCGAGCCGCCGGCGCCGCCGCTGTTGCCGCAGGCCTGGAGCCGCCGCACACCGCCGCCGCCGCCGCCGTCGTCACTGTCGCTGCTGCCGCCATTGCCGTCTCAAGGGGCCGTGAGACCTACCCTCTTCCGGAGTCGTTGCGGCTCCTGCTGGGAATGGGGGTGCTGGGCTAGGGGGTGTGGGTGTGGGTGTGGGTGTGGGGGTGTGCGTGGGCTTGACACTACCAAGCCTAGGGGGTGTGTTAAAATTATATAAGTTATAATTTAATATAGGCTTGGTAGGTTGTTACTGAACCTTTCTGTAGGGGGTACAAACCCCTCCTTGTACTCCCCTCTCTTCCTAATCCAACCACCTTTCTTCTCGACATCCTCTCACCTCCTAGATCCGTTTTTCCTCACGCCATTCCATGGCGGTCTTCTTCCTAGTATCCTAGCCAACCTAGCCTCCTAAGTTTAAGAACCTTTAGTCCTAAGTTTCTAAGACAAACCTCGACATTCGATCCTGGTCAATCGCCCTGTATATTCCCTAGGCCTCATTTCTATCGACACTCTGTAATCACGTTCCCCTTATCGAATACTGCGCTATTCTGAGTTATAATTCATAACAAATGGTCACAGCTCAGCTGTACTGGAAAGCCTACCGTACTTGGTAGAGGATGGAGCTCATCCGATAACATCAAACGCTTGGCAAGTTGAGTGGTGTGCAATACAATGCTTATTACACTGAAAGGCAATGCGGTACAAACTCTCTTGATACTTCCCTTCCCTGACTCTGTAACAATAACCTTGTAACCAGTACACTTCCACATTTTTATGCAACGATAAGATCCTCGCACTGTGCTTTCACCAACCACACTTAACCAAAAAAGGTCACGGGCAGCTGGGAGGGGTTGAGGCCTGGCCAGAGAGATTCTCTCACAATCTGGAGACACAGGACCAAGCGTGTCCATACTTCCAGGCACCCCAAGTGCAGCACTTAGTGTGGAAACTAAGCGCAGCACTTAGTGTGGAAACTAAGTGCGGCACTTAGTACCGCAGCCAGAAGGTGCGGCGGCGGATCCAGTTGTAGTCTGGGAGGAACTGGGTGGGGCCGATGGCTGCAATCGCCACGTCCTGTGAGTTAGAGGGGAAGAGGGGGGGGGGGAAGGGGGGGGTCGGGGTGAGGTTTGGGAGAAAGGCAACACTTGGCACAACACTTAATATCAAGTCCAGTTGGGGTCTGGGAGGGGCTGAGATGGGCCGATGGCTGCAATAGCCACGTCCTGTGATTTGGGGGTAAGGGAGATAAGGAGATAGAGCGGAGCGGGGAGTGAGCAAACAACGGGAATGAGGTGCTGGAGCAGGACTAATTAGAGGAGCAACTGAAGCCAGCTGTAGTCTAGGAGGAATTGGGTATGCTCGATGGCTTCCACACCCATTATAGCCTTATAGCCAAACCCATTATAGCCTTATAGCCACAACCATTATAGCCTTATAGCCACGCCCATTATAGCCACACCCATTATTGCTTTATAGCCACACCCTTATAACCGTATAGCCACACCCATTATAGCCTTATAGCCACAGCCCTTACCTTATCCAGCAGGAACCTGTCTGCAACCCTCTTAACCATCTCAGCATCCACCGCGTCGATCCGAGCAAACATCTCCGCCAGGGGGATGCGCCGCCCGTACGTGATCAGCTGCCGCCCGATGTCTTCCGCCACTGCGCTGGAGCCGTCCAGGTGGAGAGCCAGGGACGCCTTGAGCTGTATGTGTGTGGGTGTGTCGGTAGTGGCATACAGAGGGAAGGTAAGTAGACACAGGGTTGGTAAGTGATCAGCTGCCGCCCGATGTCCTCTGCCGCGGCGCTGGAGCCGTCCAGATGCAGAGCCAGGGACGTGTTGAGCTGTGTGTTGGGAGGAACATAGGGTGGGGGGACAAAGAAGGATAGGTGTCCGCATGTGATCAGCTGCAGCCCCTCGTCCTCCGCCACTGCGCTGGAGCCGACCAGGTGCAGTGGCTTCCGAGTCGACTCAAAAGTCACTCCGCCACTGCACTAGAGCAGTCCAGGTGCAGGGGTAGGCCAGGGATGTCTTGAGCTGGCGGGTTGGTTAGAGGGGGTTGGTGGTGGGTGGGTGGGTGTGTAGATAGAGGGTTGGCTGCCCGTACGTGATCAGCTGCCGCCCAATGTTATCCAATTAGCTGCACCAGAGCCGTCCAGGTGCAGGGCTAGAGATGCCTTGAGCTGGTACGGAGAGGAGGGGGAGAGAGAAAAGGCGCATGGAGTATGGCTCCAGTGGTTACTTGAGCATTCTACAAGTTGCAACCACCAGCTATAGCGAGCATGAGATTGCAGGCAAGTACGACAGGCGGGCAGATGGTATGACAGGCGGGCAGATGGTACGACAGGCGGGCAGATGGTACGACAGGCGGGCAGATAGTACGACAGGCAGGCAGATGGTACGACAGGCAGGCAGATGGTACGACAGGCGGGCAGATGGTACGACAGGCGGGCAGATGGTACGACAGGCAGGCAGATGGTACGACAGGCAGGCAGATGGTACGACAGGCAGGCAGATGGTACGACAGGCAGGCAGATGGTACGACAGGCAGGCAGATGGTACGACAGGCGGGCAGATGGTACGACAGGCGGGCAGATGGTACGACAGGCAGGCAGATGGTACGACAGGCAGGCAGATGGTACGACAGGCAGGCAGATGGTACGACAGGCGGGCAGATGGTACGACAGGCGGGCAGATGGTACGACAAGCAGGCAGATGGTACCTCATAACAACATGACAGGGGGATGACATACGATCATACCATGCTGTAGTCATGCTGGCATGCTGATGTCACGCTGACGTGCTGCTGACATCACACTCACCGCATTGCCAGCACGGGTGACGTCATCATCGGACACGCGGTACACCATGCGAGTGATCTCATGCATCATGGCCCACGCCAGGTCGTCCAGATGATCCGGCTGTACGTGGGAATAGGGGGACACACGGCACATCAAAGATGGGCAATGGGGTCACAGTAGGCACATCGGGCACGCGGTGCCCCGTGCGAGTGATCTCATGCATCGTGGCCCACGCCAGGTCGTCCAGGTCCAAATCCAGGTGGTTGGGCTGCTCACATAGGAACGAAAGCATGGACCATTTTCAACTTGCCTACAGTCATGGTCGAACGTGTCTCCCGAAGATGCAAGGAAGCAGCGTCTGAAGATCATCGATGCCCGACCGTACAAGGGCTTGGCTTTCTGGAGTGTGAGGTGCACTGATCATCGATCCTCAATGCAACTTCGGGAGACAAGTTCGACCATGACTGTATGCAAGTTGAAAATGGGAATGGGGAGAACAGTTGAGGACGTGCAAGGAGCTGATGGGACATGCCAATATTTAAGGGTGGAGGTCTAGTGTAAGGGGGCACAACGGAGTTGTACAACTGTCGTACATACAAGTACATACGAGTGTACAACAGAGTTGTGCATACTGCTCACCTTGGAGAACACATACACGCCATGCACTGCTCACCTTGGCACAGGCATACACGCCAAAGAGCCCGGTATCGGAGTAATTGGTGTTGAACGCCATGTACCGCTCGCACAAGCTGTTGGCCGCTACCTTCTGAGCCAACTCCGACCTGCGAGCAGGGCGGGCGAGGGGCAGAGGGGCAGAGGGGCAGAGGAGAGCAGAGCGACAGACGAAGGGGAATGGGAATGGGGTCATAATGGCGTCAAATCGCCCTATCACTTGCAGCACCAGCAGCAACACTAGCCTGAGGCTACCACCCGGTTGCGGCTCGCCCTGAGGCTTGTCCTTCCACCAGCAGCGTTGCTCGCTCCAAGACCCCCGCTTTAAATGCACTTACCCTAATGCCTGTCCGCCCCCTGCCCGCCCCCTGCTCGCGCTGAGGCTTGTTCCGTCCACCAGCAGCGTTGCTCCAACCCGATGTGCACTTAACCTGGCGCCAGCCCCCCTCCTGCAGCGCGGCTCCACGACCCCAGCATGTTTTGCATCACCTGCAGCGCCACGGCATCGCCCTACTGCCCCCCCTGGCTCTTGCTTCCCCTACAGCCTAGGTTCACGAACTCACCCCAGTGCCTGCCCGCCCCCTGCCGCGCGGCTCCACGAGTCCAGCATGGTGTGCATCACATGCAGAGCCACGGCAGCACCCTACCACCACCCCGGTCATGTCTAGCACCACCCCGGTCATGTCTACCACCACCCCGGTCATGTCTACCACCACCCCGGTCATGTCTACCCGAGCACCTGCATTGACTGGCTGACCCCCCTCCCCCCCCAACTCACCCCAGCGCCAGCCCCCCTCCTGCCGCGTGGCTCCACGACCCCAGCATCGTCTGCATCACCTGCAGCGCCACGGCATCCGGGTCCGTCCAGCTGGCGCCCTTGTAGGCGATGGCGAAGTTGGTCAGCGGCTGGTCGTCGTCGCGAATGCGCACCTCGGAGCCTGAAAGAAAGAGTGGGCAAACAGAGAAAGAGGGGAGCAGCAAGGAACATCGGGGTCCGTCCAGCTGGCGCCCTTGTAGGCGATGGCGAAGTTGGTCAGCGGCAGGTCGTCGTCTATGATGCGCACCTCAGCGCCTGAGAGTGAGGGAGGGGAGAGGGGAACGGAGGGGCAAGTTGAGTCAACAGTCCAGCTGGCGCCCTTGTAGGCAATGCCGAAGTTGGTTTTCAAGAATCCTCAATAACCAACGTTTTCAGAATTCTCAAAACCAGCTTAGGTGAGGGGCAAGTCGTCGTCTCTGATGCGCACCTCAGAGCCCGAAACGAAGTGAAGAATGAAGACAGGGAGACGGCCAGTGGGGCATCGGGGTCGGTCCAGCCAACGCCCTTGTAAGCGATGATGGTGAAGTTGGTGAGGTCAGCGGCATCGACATGTTTACTACCACCAAGGACGTGCACCTCCGGGCGCCAGGCAGTGGTGCACTCGTGGGTCAGAAGGTGGGAAGCGGAGGGCTTGATTTTGCAGGGTGTTTTTGGTGAGAATTCTCAAAAACACCCTGCAAAATCAAGGAGGGCGAAGGGGAGAAAGAAACAGCCACGGACGCAGCAGCAGCATAGCAAGGGGTGGCGGGGTGTGTAGGTGGGGGGAGCCTGACCAGTGAACTTGGAGGGCTCCTTGGCGATGAGACAGTGGTGGTGCTGGCGGCAGGCAGCGACGCGAAGGTGTTTCTAGACGAGCCTCAAGAGCAAGCTACAAACCTGTGAGCTTGGACGTTAAGCATACAACTAACCCTGTAACCTGTGAACTGACCGGTGAACTTGGAGGGCTCTTTGGCGATGAGGTCAGCGACAGTGGTGGTGCTGGCAGCAGGCAGCGACGCGAAGGTCTTCTCCACCAGCTTCACAAGGGCGTCATGGTCCACCGCGCCTGATGCCGCCACCACCTGATGTGAGAGAGGGATTGCGATGGGATGAAGCGAGGCGGATGGGAACGCGAGGTGTGTGAATGGTAGCAGGCAGGCAGACAGGCAGGCAGACAGGCAGGCAGACAGGCAGGCAGACAGGCAGGCAGGAAAACAGGCAAACAGGCAGGCAGCTACGCGAAGGTTTTCTCAACGAGCTTCACCGCACCTGGTGCCGCCCACCTCTCACCCCCCCACGTTGTCAGCATCTCCCAACCCCCTCATCTCCCTCCCCCACTCCACACACACGCATCCCCCTTATAAGCTCATCACCCTGGGCCTGATGTAGTGCGTCACAATGTACTTTCTCGAAGTCCTCCTGGACGATGGAGTGCACGTTGTCAGCGGACCCCAGGATGGTGCGGCCGACACATGCATGCATCCCTCCCTCCCACACGCGCATCTCTCCATATGCCACAAAACAAACCACTCACCATCCATCCTGGGCCCGGTGTAGTGCGTGACGATGTACTTCTCGAGGTCCTCCTGGGTGATGGAGCGCACGTTGTCAGCGGCGGACCCCAGGATGGTGCTGCCCACACTTGCGCGCCCCCATACCCTAGAAACCGCTCACCATCCTGGGCCCGGTGTAGTGCGTAGCGATGCACTTCTCCAATGTCAGCGGACCCCGGGATGATGCGACCCACACACCCTTGCGTTCCGACTACCCCCTTATAAACTCACCATCCTGGGCCCCGTGTAGTGCGTGGCGATGTACTTCTCGAGGTCTTCCCTGGTGATGGAGCGCACGTTGTCAGCGGACCCCAGGATGGTGCGGCCGAGAGGGCTGAACTGGAAGGCCGTGGCGTGCAGGTGGTCGAACAGCACCTCCTCCACCTGCTTCTCGATCTGCGGGCGGGGGGGAGGGGGAGGGGACGGGGAAAAGTACTCAGCTCACAGGGGGCGCAGGATCGATGAAGTCTGAACTGGAAGGCTGTGGCGTGCAGATGGTCGAACAGCACCTCCTCCACCTGCTTCTCGATCTGGCGTTTGGGGGGGGAAGCGGCGAGCGGGAAGGGAAGGGGCGGAGGGGGATGGGGTAAATTTGGAAGGAAAAGAGGGCTGTGCCGTGGTGTGCAGGTGGTCGAACGGCACCTCCTCCACCTGCTCCTCGATCTGCGCGCGGGGGAGTGGAGAGGGGGAAGGGAAAAGGGGAGGGGGATGACAGCAAGATGGAATGGCAAGGGCCGTGGCGTGCAGGTGGTCGAACAGCACCCCCTCCTCCTGCTTCTCGATCTGCGGGGGGGGAGGAGGGGAGTGGCGAAGAAGGGGGGCTGAAGGGTGGTCAAGAGAAGTCTAGTTTTGAGGCGCCTCAAAATCAAGAGAAGACGGACGGGAACGAAGGCCATGGCGCGCAGATGCTCGAACGGCACCTCCTCCTCTTGCTTCTCGATGCGCAAGGGTGTGCGGGAGCGGAGGGACGGGGGAGGTTACGGGGAGGATGAGAAGAGGAGAGAGGGACGGACGGCCGTGGCGTGCAGGAGGTCGACGAGCACCGCACCTCCTCCACCTGCTTCTCGATCTGAAATGCAACAAGAGACTTAAAGCCGCAAGAGCGTCTTTCTTCCGCTGCAGTAGCTGCTGCTACCCCCCCGGTTGATAGCACGACCACGCTGCTTGTCGTTCCTCTTGGAGTCACCAGCACCACCGCCTTTGAAGGTTCGTATTTTTTTGGCGCCTCAAGCGCTGCTGTAGCTACTGCTAGCCGCACAGTTGATAACACGCCCCAACCAACCTCGTCGCTTCTCGTCACTCTTCGAGCGACTAACGCCACCGCCTTTGTACATTCGTATTCGTTTCCGCACCACCATCACAACCTGACGTCACCGCATCGTACCGGACTATGAGATATCAGCTGCACGTACCTCCTGCATCTCCCGCAGAGTGACTTGTGACGACACGACACCTCACCACCATCACCACCAGAACCGCTACGTAGAACGTACCTCCTGCATCTCCCGCAGAATGACTCCGCGCTCGCGGTTCACCGCATCCTCGTTAAAGAGCGAATTCTGCAGAATGTCGCCCAGCAGATCTACAGCAACGGGAATGTCCTTCTGCACCACCTTAGCGTAATACGTCGTCATCTCACGCGACGTGTACGCGTTAAGGTGTCCTCCGGCATTCTCAACCTCCATCTCCAGCTGCTGCACAGACCGCCTCTTAGTCCCCTTAAAGATCATATGCTCCAGAAAATGCGCGGTCCCGTTAGTAGCCTCGCTCTCGTATCGGCTCCCCGCGTCGATCCACACGCCGATTGTAGCCGTCTTAGGCGCGTTCGGATGCAGGCTCGCTTCGCTCGCGACGCGAAGGCCGTTGGATAGGGTCGTGACACGTGTCGCCGGAATAAGCCCGAGGGCCGCGCTGTGATCGACGGTTACGGGGATCGGGGAGTTGTAGCGCGCAAATCGGTCCTCGTCCGCTATCTGCACGGGCGCGGGGGCGGCTTGCGCGGAGAATGCGCGGAACGGCGCGATCGAGCCAGATCTGCGACCGGACGCGGAACGAGCCGCGCGGGACGCGGCGGCTAGTAGCCGGGAAGCCATGGCTGGATACCAAAGGCTAGCGGCTCTAAGCAGATGGAGCGGGTTGAACGGACGGCGGAAGATGAGAGGCGGGGGGTGGAGCGGATTGAGCGGGATGGACGACGACACGTCAGCAGCCCTCGCGAAAGGACACCTGAAGCTACTAATGTACTAAGCTTCCTGGTGACTAGGCGAAAGAACAGGAACTGAGGGGGCGAAGTATATCTTCCGCCAGCGCTGGTGCTTCTTCCCGCCACAGCGCGCAAGGGGAAATCTTCCTCCACTCACCCCATCCCGCAAAGCTTGCGCAGGAGTTTACACTAGTTTATTTTATCAAGGTTTGCATGGGAAAATAAACGGTAAATATAATAGTATGCTCTTGGCATTTAATCCTTAGTAAGAGAACATGGTATAGAGAAGAAAATCATTCATGTCTCACATTCTGTACCTTCATCAGCTTTTCCACCTGACATAATAAATGCTATGCGTTAACATTATGTCTTGATAGTGATCCACAACGTGCTGAATAGAACAAGCGAGCTCGTTGGCATGATTGCACTTCAAATTATAATATTGACAAAGATTACATAAATATTTTATTATCGCAAAGGACACCCCATGTAGCTCAGTAAATTGTATGCTATACATATTCTTAAAGTAAGAACTGAATGATTGACTAGAAATGGAAACCTAGAACAAGTACTAGTTGGTTATACTCCCTAGAAGCATACCTCTGTCTAGCCTATCACTTCTACATAGCTAATATGTATAAGTTGACACACCCCTTAGGCTAGACAAGGGATGAAGCTAAGCAAGAAGCAAACAGCTCAGAGATGCACTACTAGTCCAACCACTGAGGCAGGGGTCTGAAGACCAGTCAGCAAGAATACAAACAAAACTAAAGCAAGCCAGGGCGGCACTACTAGTCCAGCCACTGGAGGTAAGGCCACAAGGCCAGTCTGACAGGCATATATAATAGAGAGTACACAATCAGGATCCTAACAGGTGAGTAGCTACAGGAACAAGACCAAGCTGTACACAGTGCCGCTGATGATCTTTAGGCGCAAGCGCCTTAGTAAAGATATCAGCTGTGTTGGCACCTGAGGCCAAGTGAACTACGCGGGCCTGGCGGCGCCGCTGTAGCTCGCGCATGAGGAAGTACCGCAGCTGGATATGCTTCGCTCTGCCCTCAAGCCGAGGCTCCTGACACAGGAGTATCATGGCCCTGTTGTCAGCGTACAGGACCGGGGCAGAGCTAGGCCGCTCACCTAAGTCTGTGAGCAAGAAGGTCAGCCAGCGGAGCTCCTGTGCCGCCATGGCACCAGCGTAGATCTCAGCCTCACAGCTAGACTGAGCCACAGACGACGAGCGAGTGGATCTCCAAAAGATAGCACCCGAACCAAGGCTAAAATAGCCCTGCGACGACCTGAGCGTCTTAGAGTCGTCTGCCCAAGAAGCGTCTGTGTGCCCTGTAAGGACCACTGGCCTGCGTCCTCCTAGCACTAACCCCATGCCTGATGTACTAGCAAGATAACGCAAAACCCTCTTAGCGGCAGACTAGTGCTGAGGTCGGTGTCTGCCTGTAGCCACAAAGCGAGCTAGGATGCTGAGAGGGTATGCGAGATCTGGGCGAGTGCAAGTCATCAGGTACATCAGGCAACCCACCAGCTCTGCGTAGGGGCCACTGGGCTCTACTGGCTCCTCAGGAACGGGAGCGGAGAGCCCATGGTCTACAGGTAGAGGTGTGGGCTGTGCGGAGGAGAACTGAAGACCGAACCTCTGAAGGACCTGACGCACCAAGTGTGACTGTGTTAGAGTGATGGTGCGTGCTGCTCTGTCCCTAGAGATCTGCAGGCCAAGATAGCGACGCAGCTCTCCAAGGTCAGTGCAGGTGTGTTTCTTCAGAAGCTCGGCCTTCACACAGGCTAGTGCGTCCCTGTCAGCAGTAGCGAAGACCAGATCGTCTACGTAGACAATGATGTAGAACGGAGTCTGGCCGGAACGCACAAACAGCGAGGGGTCAGCAGAGGACGGAAAGAACTGCAGGTCTGCTAACGTGGCCCGCAGCGTGTCGTGCCACTCGCGAGGAGCCTGACGCAGGCCGTAGACTGGACGCCTGAGAAGCCACTGGGTCCCAGGGGGGAAGGTACCAGTGAAGCCCTGTGGTCGGCGCAGGTAGACCTGCTCGTGTAGGCTGCCCTGAAGAAAGGCAGTAGAGAATTCGAGGGAGTGAAGCTCGTAGTCGCGCTGTGCTGCTACGTGTAGCAGCGCCCGAAGAGTGGTCATCTTTGGGGTCGGGGCGAAGGTCTGGAAGAAGTCAACCCCCTCTCGCTGGCTGAAGCCTCTGGCCACGTAGCGCGCCTTGAACACAGGCGTCTCTCCAGGGGGGCGCTTCACCTTGAAGAGCCACCGACCATCAACTACGTTCACTCCAGGCGGGGGAACTGCGTCGACGTAAGTGCCGGTGGACCTCCAAGATGCCATCTCCTGCTCCATGGCAGCTATCCACTGAGAGGCCCAAGGTCCCGAGGTGGCCTCAGCGTAAGTGCGAGGGGTCGGAAGTGCGTAAGTGCGTGGGGGAGACACCGGCGCGCGGTCCGGGGAGGGAAGGCCGAGCAGGCGGAGAGCGGAGACCGGCGGCGACGGCTGCTGAGGCTGCTGCGACAGCTGGGCCGGAACCCTCGGACCGGCAGAGGCAGGACGACCGTCGGCGGAACCCTCAACAGCAGCACCCCCAGAACCAACACCCCCAGAGCAAGAACCCCTTCCAACTCCAGCGGCACCCCCGGGAGCCGCAGGACGAACACCCTCCTCAACGCCAGCACCCCCAGAGGCCAACGGCGGCAGCGGCGGCGGCGGCGACGGCGGCTGTGGCGGTGGCGGTGACTGCGACTGCGACGGCGGCGGCGGCGGCGGCGGCGACGGCGACTGCGGCAGGGAAGGCGGAGACACCGGGGAAGGGGGACGCGGCAGGGACGGGCCGGGGGGACCACCAGAGTCAGCAGACTCCTCAACGGGGACAACCGACGGGCGGGGAGTGACGTGAGAGACACGAGACGGGGCAGGACGAGGCGGGAGAGGAGCAGGGGCTACAGGGGGAGAGGGAGCCAGGAACAGGGGCGGGGCAACTGGGAGACCTCGGTGAGGGAAGCGGCGGTAGAAGGAGACAAACTCGTCAAAGGTGACGTCACGAGAGTGGAGGAAGCGGTGAGACGGCGGGTGGTTAAAAAGCCAGTCAGACGAGTCCAGAGGAAAACCGAGGAAGACACAGGGGACAGTGCGGGCAGTGAGCTTGTCCGTGCCAGAGGCACGAACGTGAGCAAGGCAGCCCCAGACGTGGAACGCAGACGCGTCACCGGGGGACCCGGTCCAAAGGAGGGTCGGCGAAACCTGCGGCCGCTGGGAGCGTGGCCACAAGTTAAGCTGGTGAGCAGCGTAGCGAACAGCGAACGGCCACAGAAAATGGGGGGCATCGGCATGAATCATGGAGGTACGGGCGACCTCCATGACCAAGCCGATGCGGCGCTCAGCAACCCCATTCTGCTGTGGCGAGTCCGGCAAGGTGTACGACTGGGTGATGCCCTCCGCACGACAGAACTGTCCAAGCCGACCAGAGGCGAACTCGCCGCCACGGTCGGAGTGGAGACACAACACGGGGAGACCACAGTGGAGACGCGCAGCCACAACCTACGGGAGAAGAACGTCGGGCACGTCGGCCTTCCGCTCCAGGGGAAACACCGTGGTGTAGCGCGTGTAGTCATCGAAGAGCACAAGGAAGTAGCGCTCACCGCACGGTTCGGGGATGGGGGCAGGGCCCCAAACGTCCAGGTGCAGGGTCTGAAGGGGGGTAGTAGCAGGGTGCAGCGAGGAGGAGTGAAGAGCACGGCGGAGCCGACCCTCGACGCAAGGCGTGCATGGTGGCGCAGTCGAGGGAGGAAGGGCAGGGAGCGACGCGGGGAGACCTAAGACAAGACCGTGCTGCGACATGTGATGCAGACGCGGGAGAGCAGGGTGACCTAAGCGGTGGTGCCAGAGAAGGGACGGGTGAGTGAGGGACTGACACGAGCAAGCTGCAGCGACCTGGGAGGACGCACCAACCGGGGGGGAAGCGGTGTCGAGGGTAAACATCCCACTGGGTCCCGGGGGAACGTCGCAAGGGGGGAACCTGAGACAGCCTCAGAACAGACAGCGAACCGCTCGTGCCCGGGGAATGTGGTGGTGACGCCGAGGTCCTGGAGACACCCGACACCAACCAGGTTCCTCGAGAACGAGGGAACGTGGAGGCCTGTAAGGGAGCCCGAGGGAACTGCTGGACAGGGAAGGGACGTAGAACTGCGAGCGACGACAGGACCCGCAGAGGGGTCAGCGAGAGAGACAACAACAGGCGCAGCAAGCGGCGTGAGCGTGGAACGGTCGCGGAAGAAGCAGGCAGAAGCACCGGAGTCGAGAGTGAAGGACAGCGAAGCAGTGGCGGAGGTCGGGGACGGAGCCGGTGCAGCGACTAGACTAGGCAAGCTAGGCAGTCCTACGCCTGACGCAGCAGGGGAGGCTAAGCTACACAATGGTGCAACACCTAAACTAGAGTACACAGGGTAATAAGATCCAGCAACACTAGAAGCGTCAGAATACAAAGCATGCAAAGCAGCACCTATCTGATCCATGTCTAACTCAAAGATCGGCACGCCCTGGCGGAGCAGGCTGTGCCAGTCGGGGAGGTCCGGGGCCGGGCCAAAGCGACGACGAAAGAGATCGTCGAGGCGGCGGAAACAGCGGGCGGTCGGGTGCGGGCGGTCGGGTGCGGGCGGCGGCACAGAGTGCCGCGAAGAGGCCCGGTCTGAAGCTGGTACTGGCAAGTGACAGCACCGGAGCCGCCGGTAGACGCCAAGCTGCGCGGGCCGCCACCACAGCCAATACCTCCGGAGGTGCCGGGCCAGCCAGGCGGGAGACGGGCCCACGGCTGCGACGACTGCTGCTGGGACGGCGGCTGCGGATGGGGCTGCTCCTGCTGCGGCTGGGACTGCTGCTCCTACCCACCAGTGGTAGTCCCCACAGGCGGACTACCGTCACCACCACCACCACCACCACCACCACCACCTGCGCCACCACCCCTACCTCCCTGGCGACCACGGCCACCGCGGCGCGAGTGCTGCTGCGGGTGGACCGCAGCAGCCGTCTCGGTGAG